GGCGGCCGTTGGCGGCCGTTGGCGGCCGTTGGCGGCTCTGGGGGACCCGGCGCGGGGGCCTCTTCGCTGCCTTTCCGTTCTGCAGGACAAGCCCTTCCCTTGGAGCCAGAGCGGCTTCCTGGGTGGCGGAGGTGGCCGGTGGCCCCGCACAGCGCCGCTGTTGGTGTCCCTGGGGCCATGCTGCTGCTTCTCGTGCCGCTGTTTGGGCTCAGCTTCCCCACGCGCTGCGTTATCCGGCCTAGCTGGGCAGCCCGGGGAGCAGGAAGGGAGCTGCTCTTAGTAGATACCAGTGCTCCATTAGGTGAATCCTTGCTGTTCCTGGCGTGCGTGGGAAGAAGGAGCCGCGTTCTCCCCCTTGTGCCGCGTCTTGCGCTGGTTGCCACTCTGTTCGTGTGCCCATGTCCAGCTAGAGGTCCAGGGAAATCCTTCACCTTTACCAGTGGTGTGGGAGGCATGCTTCGGCACCCGGAATTTGGCGTTGGAGYGGACTATTCAGGAGATATTTGGGTGCATGTTTTTGATTGAGTGATGCAAAGGTGGTTAAAATGAAAGAGCAGAGCTCTGTGAGAGACTCTTACCAAAGGCGATATTCAAAAAGTTGTGGTCTTGCAGCGGTGGGGTTGTGACTGAGGTGGTGGGTAGGACCCATGGCAAACTCATCCCAAATGCAGTAGTGTTAGAATAGGGGCCCTTGGTGCAACGAATAGAGAAGTTGCAAATGGATAAGGTATTTTATAAAGAAGGTAGCAAATTCCTGAAATTTACTACTGCAGGAGGCTGGAGAAAACATTTATTGTATTCTTATCCTTCTAGCTTTGTTTGTTTTCTGTAAAAGCAAATATGTAGAATAGTGTATTTTTTGTAAGAATGGTTTTGTAACAGTTAAGGCGGMTTGAGGAGATGAAACTGTGTCAACCTGTGGCTCCCTGACCAGCCCATGAGGGAGAGGGTCTAGCAAAATCCTGGCTTAGTCCTTAAAATATAGTAGGGGCCTTCTCGTGCTAATAATACTCCTTTAAATTAGCTTGGGAAAGTACGTGCTACAAATGAGCACTCTGGCTCCCTTGTGTTTGTGTTTGTAGTCACAGAGCTGCTTTCGTGTCCCAGTTCTGCAGTATTTYTGCTGTAACAGTTTCTCGCTTTTCTTCTGGATGAGTATGGACTAAGAGACAGGAAGTGTTTTGAAAGCAAGCATGTGCTGCTGTGTGACTTGAACTAGGCTGGCTGCAAGACCTTAAAAAACGTGATCTCTTGTAAGTAATGAACGACCTACCATGTTTTTTCATCTTTGAGTAAAGTAAAATAACAAGGTTTGTTTTAAACAAACATTGTTCCTACCAATTTTGAGAACTTTGGGTAAGACTAGGATATCTCCTAATATTTGCAATTTCTAGGGCTGTGGTTGCATTTGGTAGTCACTCCAGTAGGGATTTCACTGCTGCTGTAGTACGTGCTGGCAAAAGCCCTTGTGTTCATAAGGGCGACGTCCAGTGATAACTGCTTTTGAGACTGAGCCAGCTGCYTGATAAGAGGAACAGGAAGGACACGCACTGAGTTCACAGGAAAGGCAGCTTGGTCAAAGAACGCGACCAGGATTTTGGAATGCTCCAGTGGTTATTTCCAAACGCTGCTGTGTCATTGCTGTGATCTACTAGATGCCAGCTCTTCTAAGGAAAAATTAAGGAGGTACAGTCATTAAAAAAAAAAAAAAAAAAGAAAAAAGATGGTGGGGAATCCTTGAGGGAGGCAGACAGAAAACTTAGAACCTGTTTTTTGGAATTCAGTGTTTTCAGGTATGTGATTTACTCTGCATCCTACATGTCCTCCATCTTTACGATAGTGATTCTGCATGATCCAGTGTCTTGGGTGGATTGTGTGCAGTGATACCCTTGGTTGCAGTCTGGGAAAAGGGGGGTGTATCTAATATTTTTAAAAAAGCTGATCCTGGTTCCTGGTTGCAGGCTTTGTTGACCCTTTGATGAAGGCCTCCCTTCATAACCCTGTTATTTCCTGCTGGAGACTCCTGCAGAACGGAAGCAAGCAAAGATGATCTCCTTCAAGCAGCTGCCCTTTGAAGCGAAGGCTGCAGTGGCTGCAGGAGTGATTTTCTTCTCCATGATGCTATCACGGAGCCAGCTAGCAGAACAACTGGAGCTCAAGACACGGCGTCGGCTTGTGAGGTTGCAGATGTCGCTGTTTATGAACACACTCATGTTGATAGGATCACGTCATATATGGAGAAGCACAGTCACCGTGTTCTCCAGGTCTTCAGCTGCTAGCTCCTTATGTTTCCTGGCATGGAAAAYAGCTGTGTTGATTTTTCTTGCTTTGGCACATTCAAGCTTCCTTACGCTGCTGTTTCTTGTTTCAGAAGAGCCGTATTTCTTTTCTTTAGCTGCCTACACCTGCCTAGGGGCTTATATCCTTCTTATCTTCTTTCTCTTCACTCTCGGCTCTGTAGAGCAGGCTTTTAAGTTCTTGGCTGGGAGAGGCGCTAAGGCAGGCAGTAAGAACAGCAGAACAGCGATGAAGCCGGTTTTGTCASTCATGCTGACTGTTGTGCTGACTGTTGTTGGGCTGTTAAACGCTTCCCAGCCTCCAGCTGTGAATACAGTGGAGATTCCAGTTCACAAGCTGCCATCAACAATGAATAACCTGAAGGTGGTCTTGCTCTCGGATATCCACCTGGGGCCTACAGTTGGGAAGACCAAGCTTGCCATGATTGTGAGAATGGTTAAGGCCTTGAAACCAGATATCACRGTGATTGTGGGGGACCTGACGGACTCCGAGGCACGAATCATGCGACCTGCTGTTGAGCCTCTTGGAGAACTTAATTCTCCTTTAGGGACCTACTTTGTCACAGGAAACCACGAGTATTACACATCAGATGTCAGCAACTGGTTCGAACTGTTGAAATCATTTAACATTCGGCCACTGCACAACGAGAACRTGAAGATTGTTTCACCCCAGAGCACCGACGACTGGTTCTGCCTGGCTGGCGTTGATGATATTGAGGCGAACGCGCTGCGCTACGCGGGCCATGGCATGGATTTAAAGAAGGCTCTCGGTGACTGCCCCAGTGAGCGTGCCATAGTGCTGTTAGCTCATCAGCCCGCTGCTGCCAAGCGGGCCCTTCAGGAGAGACCAGACGTGAGTCTAGTCCTCTCTGGYCACACTCATGGAGGGCAGATGTTCCCGCTGAATGCTGGGGCCTATTTTCTGAACCCCTTCTTCGTTGGCTTGTACAAAGTCGGGCAGAACACCTTTGTCTATGTCAGCCCAGGGACGATGTACTTTGGAATACCCATGAGRTTGGGCAGCAGAGCTGAAATAACAGAAATAATTCTGCGTTCTCCTTGAGGAGTGGACAGACTTCTGCCATCTTTATTGGTCAGTATTTTGGCTCTTTTGCTCTGGAAGCAAATCCTTTTCCAGGGAAGTCAGGGAAAATGTGTTAGGGTGGATGCATCCAGCAATTTCTGTTAAGTTTGAGGAGAAAACACTAATTGTATTAGGTTGTTCAACAAATCAGGGGCATGTTGGAATGCTGAAGAAATTAATTCTTTGAGTTCATTACTTTTTTGAGGTTCTGCATTTAAGGGTAACACCAGTGTCACGGAAACAATGTCGGTGCTGTGCATGTTTGGCAATATCTGTGTCCCATGGCTAGTTCACGTTCTGCTGTTTACCTTACTATATGGTAGGCAGCTGCCTTGTTTTAAGTATAAGACAGGTGAAGCTCTTGCATTGAAACTGCACTGTTGCAGAGGCTGTTACAGAGTGTCTGTCGAGTATCTAAGCTCTAGAAGCCTTGTGCTAAAAGAGTTAGTGGAAAAAACATGCACTGTTGACTGAGGCAGGCATCTTTAGATCATCTCTTCCACTGTCTCTCTGTAGCATGCAGTGAGGCTCCCAGTCTGAGGGGCTTTGACAAGAAAATCAGGTACCAGGTAGCAGTGTTGCACAGTTTTKGGGTTTGGGTTTTTTTTCCAGTCAAAAACYTGTGCAGACAGGTTTTAAAGGGTGGAAGTAGCTGTCTTTCTGCAGGCCTTGGGTACCTATTAATTACCCTCTGAAATTTGTGCCAATAAAAGCATGTGAAATCAAACCCTTAATTAACCCTTAATTCCACTGCTGCCTGARCATTCAGTAGCAGAGCTCTTTGTTTGCAATGGTGAAATACAGAGCCTCTTCTCTCCCCATTCCATATTTTTTATTTGTGCTTAATTTCTCTTTTCTGTGTTTTTTCTCTAAGAAGAGTAAGAAGAAACTACTGGAAAATGATGCAAATGATATTCAGTATAGCTATTCAATACATTTTTTTGTATTGATTTGTATTCAGTACAAGCTTTTTTTTTTTAATTAAGGATTTACATTTCAAATATGTRGTATCCTTTTTTGGAAAACCAAACTTCACAGAAGGTAACTTTGCATATCGTCCTCCTGGTTCTCCAATATGCACACAACAGAGCAATTGTTAGAGAATGATGAGGAATGGTGAATTTCTCTGCTTTTCCTAGAAGGTCTAACATAAATTACTATAATTCTGGGAAATGGGACAGACTAAAAAGAAAGAAAAAAACAAACAAAAACCCCACTTTCTTGCTTTCCAAGCTTTATGCTCTTGTTRGAGAACCAGCATGCAAGTCAGTGAGTAGGTATTGTGCAGGCTGATGAAATAGTTTGCTCCACTTCCTCCTTCCACCTCAGCAGAGCAGGGAGAAATGCCAGAGACACCGTAAGCCTGGGAACRTGCTCCTGCCTCTGATCCTGCAGGCACAGGGGCTTGTGCCTCCTGGCCCCGGTTCCTCTCGGGTGGAGCTGAGTGGGTTCCTGACACCCTAGGGCTTGTCCAGGAGCCCCAGGACAGCAGCATAAAAGCTACTCAGTGTCCTCCTGCCTGCTGGAACCCGGCACTTCTGCTCTTCAGCCCGTGCTGGGAGGGGAAGGGGGAAGAAGACYGTAGGCTTTATAAATAAAGTGCACTTTTCCTGTAAGTGAAGAATCTGGAGTGTCATCTCATCTGCTCCCTTCAGCCCCTCAAGTCTGAATTCCTGCCTGCACAGTGCTTTTTGTATCCTGCTGCTCTCTAGGAACATCTTTAGTTTTTGCTCATGGGAGTATTGAGAAATACTGTAAGAGCAAATAGAGTATGTGCATTGGAGGACAGGTTAAAAAGCTGGGGAATTTGACCTTTTAGTCTGAAAATCTGAGATCTGAACAGCCAGCCTGTTTACATGTTGGACCAAATCATTTCAGTTTCATCGCACTTGAAATTTTGTAAACTGTTTTTATGCTTTGCAACAATATCTGCTTAAGTACCCTACAGCTTCCATATGTATGTATGGCCTTTTTGGGGGATCTTKGTGGCTTTTTACTGTCAGTGACGTCAAATGGGCTTACGTAGCTCAGAGAGGTTTGATGTCCTGTGGCCTCTCTTTTTCTTAACAAAGTGCCTGCCATTATAAACTATATTGCACATTTARTAGCACAGAACATTTCCTCTAGGCCAGTGGTCCAGTAAGGTATTTTGCATTTGTTATACCTAGGGTTATTACTGTGATAAGCAGACTAAACATTTCAAAGCATTTTTTTTGAAGGTATAAATGGGAAAACACCACATATCAACTTTTTTTATTTTGAAAAAAGACAAAATTGACCTTTTCTAAAATCTAAGACAGCAGTCCCTAATTGTCTTTGAAGTCTTTCTCTGTACTTGTTCCAGTTTGACTTGGATGTGTGTGATTTAGAACCATCTTCAGTATTACAGATGAAGGAATTTGGTGTGCTGTTTATTCTGTAGTTTCAGGGTTTTTTGTTTGTTTGGTTTTTTTTTTTTTTTTGTCATTTTGTGTGTGTGTGTAATGTATATTCTCTGGAGAATTTAACCAAAAGAATATATATTTCTTCCTACCACAAGGCCAGTTCATTTGGAGGGGGATGTTAAGCCCTACCAGAATTATAACAGAATAATCACTGTGAAAGTTACATTTATTACAGTGTATGATCATTGGAGAATGGATTTGAAAATGTGTTAACTGTGGTATGATAAATGCTTTAAAATTGGGATTCAATAAAACTTTATTCACTTATCAAGAAAGATGCCTCTAATGATCTTTTATTTTATAACAGTATTTTTTGAAGGAGTTTATACAGAACATATACAGAACATGCAGAACAACACACAAGCTCTGCTTATTGACAAAATAAATCTGGCTAGTTTGGGATAATCTTAAACCCTCACTCCTAAGCAAGGCATGGGGGAAAATGAGAAAGGTAAGGACATTATTAAATGTGRGCAATGCCTACCACTGGGAAGAAAGGCATGCTAAAGGATAAGGGGCAGAGAAGAGGAACCACTACCATGACAGTGAAAGGAGTCTCTGGGAAGGTGCAGGAAAAATTCTTCTTTTTTGAGAACAAATGGGTCTAGCCACAGTTAATGGCTAATGCAGTTTTATGTCCTAAAACTTTTGTTTTCTAAGTTGAGAAAAAATATACGTTAGACACCATGCAGAGCATTAAGTTTGCACAAAGGAGCACTTGGTGTAAGAAAGGCCATTCCTCAGTTCCTCACATTTTCCATGTGAACATATGAGATACAACACTGTACCTGTGTACCAAGGGCCTGAATTTCCAGCTAGCCACCAGTTTGACAGAGCGTGAATGAGACAGCAGTGTGCAGCTAAGCTGTACCTGTTAGATCCACCTAGCGAACCAGGAGATCCACCACCTCATCTGCTAGAAGGATGCAGAGAATTCATTCCTGCAATAGAGTCATGAATATACAATATTGACAAATCTGGGCATATTTTTGAGGAGAAACATTTTGTCTTTAGTTTTGTATCAGTGTGAGCCCTACCGTGTAAATAACAGGTAGAGATGTGCACTGACAATAAAGGCAGTGAATGAGGTGAATCTGRGTGTGCCTGTGTGTAATTCTGTACCATGACGTTTATGCACAAACAAGGTAATTCACAGATCTGTTTGCAGCCTTGAAAGCATCGTCCTTAACTGCTAACTGGTTCTGCGCTGATCACTGCCATAACTGATACCTTCCTTTTACTGTGTGAGGAAATTCTTGCTTCTGTGCCAGGGACATCTGCCCTCAGAGGGGAGCTCTGCAACCCGTGGAGYCGCTCAGCGCCTCTCAGCAGCCGTTTGCTGTAAATGAAGCAAGTGGCTCTTCCACAGGCAGCTGATGTGGTTTGTATGAGAGCCCGAGCTAGAGAGGGGAAGAGCAGCAATTTATTTGGACTTTCCTTTTGAACTTCCAAGTCTTTTAATAGCTGCACCTGCAAGACAAAATTAAAATCACTATATAAAGTGAAGAAATGCTAGAACTGAGGAGCAGATTGCTGACATAGTGGCTCCTGGTCATTCCCAACGACCACCTTCCCTTTTTTTTTTTTTTTTTTTTTTTTATCAGACCAGCAAATACCTGTGCATTGTTTACAGTGATAATTTAGCAGAGGTTTAACAGGCTGGAATTATTACAACAACCTAATTTCACAGGGAGAACCCCCATATTGGCATTACTTTTTTCCCAGAGCATTTGGTCATGTTTGTATTTCTTAGCTCTGTAAGGCCCCAATTTTATGGACACAGGGTACGTTYGTATCTTCATAGAGAATTATTTCAATGTCTGTGGAGCTATTTTTGTTAAGCAATGTTAAGAATGGGTCTGTGTTTATGTGACTGAAGCTATGCAGATACTTGGCAATCTCTTCAGACTCACTGTTCTTGTTTAACTGTGCTCAGGGCAGCAATCTTCTGCCGTCTGTTTTTATGTGGCCACCACGTGCCGTGTTTTTATATGRCACTTGTTTGGTGTTGGCAGGGTGTTTTACAGTGTTAGGCACATATAAGACCCAATCCACAACTTGATTTTAAGTTTTCTATTAAGAYATTGCTTATACCGTAGTTGCAACTCACTGCAGTCTTCCTTCTCCTTGCAGCTTGTGGTCTCCAAATGTTTTGAAGTGTCACCTCACTCTGTCGCTCCTTTTACTGATAGCGTAGGGGCAGTCATGTTTACTCAGTGATATTTCTTTCGCTAGATCCCAGGGGAGTGCAGCTTGTACTCTGCCCTGTAGCTTGTGCTCCTTCTGACCCGTGACGCYGCCTTGCAGGGCACTGGCTCCTTCTGCTACCGTGTCCCACTAGCAGTCTGCTCTCAGCTGCAGGTAGTGGCCTTGGCCAGAAGTTTCAGGCAGCCTTATGGTCATATTTCCTTGCTGTGTTTCACTCTTTTCATTCCTATCTCTGCTTCTCCTGTACGTGTACACATGGCTGTAACTGAATTGCTTGCCCATGAACTGGACAAAGTGGCTTCCTGCCTTTGGTTCTTCCCAGCTGTGCTGCCACTTGGTCACTACTCATCGTCCGTGCGCAGAGTTCCCCAGATGGTGGATACCTCAGGTGTAGTGGGGCCACCTTGGGCAGTGTGGTGACTTGTATCTCCCTTTCCTTTCCCCTGCCATCACCATCAATGAATCAATTTCCTAATTGCTAAGCTCCCTTCGCAGYGTGGGGCAAGCCCAGGCCCCTCTTCGCCAGGGTAAAATGGGCCAGTGCCTTTCAATAGCTTTTGACTTGCTTTCCTTGGAGCAGCGTAACCTTGAACCATCATGTGGGTCACTCAAACAAGGTTTGTTTGTTTSGTTTTGTTTCCTGAACAGTTGTTTATCTCCCATGTGCTCCATAYTGAGTGTAATAAAATAATAAAACACAACTGCAAAGTCACTGAACGTGCAGCCRTTTTTAAACAACAGCCTGCTGTAGTTTGTGGAGGACAAAATTAATTCCGGCCATAAGGATGATGGAAATATGTCAGTGAAATGTAAGATGTGATATGCTATTTTTTTACGCTTTTTTAAAGGTATAGGACTATGCAAAAATGTATTTTTTTWAAAAAATAAAACCTTGCTTTTAGCAAGTTACTTGATGCAAATATATTTCTATTGATCATAGCAGTTTGATGTTATTAAAAGTCACAGATTTATTTGAGGAGTGATCCCATGTTTCTGGAGTTGAGGTATTTTTTATGGGTAGGAAGTGCAGATTCTTATTCCTAGTTTTCCTGCTTCTTTTAAGTTCACTATTGTAAACATTTTAGGCATATTTAGCTAGAAAAGTATGGAAAGCAGTACCAGGTACTCCTTGTGCTTTAGAATATACTCCTGTTTTCATAGATGACAAATCCTGTTTAGTGATGATTCACATATATTCTGGCCAAGTGTCTTACTAAATCTTTCCTTTCCTTACCCCTTTTTCTGCATCTCCAAAAGTGGCTAATCTTTAGGGATTTTCGTAAACATATGCACTTTCCCAGACGATAATCCTTTATTTATGGGAAAATAAGCTTTCCAGCAGTGCCCTGGAGCATTTGGAGGATGGCAGGAATCTGGCTGGCAAGTGCCTCTAGACTTCAGTGTGACATTAAATGGGAAATAAGGTGGTGTTTCCCATAAGTTCGGGGAGTTGATATATTGGGTGCCGAGGACTGGCTTTCACCAAATCAGTAAATCTGTCCTGTTTAGTTCAGCACCATTTGTGCTGGTGTAAGCAACTGCCATGCAGCATGTGTCCATGTCGAAAGACACAACAATGTAATTGCTAAAAGTTGAGAATCCACGTGGCCTATTTTGGTGTGGTGCTGAGTGCTGTCCTTACTGCCCAGCTGCAGATGTGCTGTGTTTAAACCAAAGTCTGCTRGGCTCAGTGCACTGCTTAAAGGGTGGAGAACCACGCTATACCACTAATGTTAATGTTAATGTACCTCCTGTTCAATGCATCTTAGAGTTGTGGTTACGTAGGTGATTTTCCATRTTTTTCATGACAGAAAAAGCTTACATTTTGTACCTTGGTTTTTTTTTGCATGCAGAATGTACCCCAGAGAAGTTTTGGGATCGATTATGACTGCAACTGCTTTGTGAAGGACGGGAGCCCTTTCCGCTACATCTCAGGCAGCATTCACTACTCGCGGATTCCCCGCTACTACTGGAAGGACCGCCTGGTGAAGATGAAGATGGCAGGGCTTGATGCCATTCAAATGTAAGTAACTAGTGACTTTTCAAATGATCTGCAGGCCTGGGAAACCTGCACAAAGCAGTTAAGTGGGGTGCTGCCATTGCTATTTATTTATTAAAYAGCATGTGGAAATGCTCTGCAGAAATGAAGGGTGGTACCAAATGACCTCTAGCAACTTACACTGGGAGTGCTTGACAGGTTACAGCCAACAATCTACCTTTCTGCTGATAGGCAACACCTCCTGCTTCACATTTTGGTGTATAAATGTGACCTGAATCAAATAGAAGGTGAACTTTGGCAACTGAGAAACAGACTCATTCTGTGCTCTGTCTCTGCCACGGGTGTTGTAATCTCAGACTGAATGAGAGAGAACAGTAACTTCTTAATACAGTTTAGTTAGCTATTAGTTGTGTGGAGGTGGCATAGGAAAAGGCATGTGGAATTTGAACCAAACCTCTTGGGCATCTTTCTTCTCTTTCCTACCAGTTTGTGTCCTTGCTACAGTAAGTGAAGAATGCAGCCTRCTGTTATTTTTTGCCAGTTTGTTTTACAAAGAAAGATGTAGAGAGATGAATTGGCACAGTCTTTTCAAGTAATTCTTGCAATTGCCCTACATGACTTCTTTCCTAAATTGTAGCAGGGCTTAGAGCTTCTCTTTGCAACAGCTTCTTCTTACACTAGTACCTGCCAGACAGGATTGGTTCTGGRGGGTGCAGTGGACAGATAATCCTGCAGTCTGGGACTGTTTGTTCTGGTTCCTCTCTGTGTTGTGATGTTGTAGTGACTTTTTGTTCATTTTGTTTTGATTTTCTGATGAAGCAACTGAGCACATTTTGCCTTTTAATAGGAATAAAGGGATTAAGCAACACACTTGTTGAAGATGGTCAGAAAAAAAATGCTGGGAGGTGCCCATGTAATAAATTTTTGCTGAAGTAAAAATAATCTCAGACCTCAGAATTATATCTTCATGGCGTCCTTCTTGAAAATCAGTCTGGAGCCCAACACTGTCTCTGTAGCTTTCCTGTGATTCTGTAATGCCTCATACTTCACTAATGTCTCTGACTTATATTCCTTCCCTTCATCTCAGAACACACATACATATATCTTTATTGCCTTCTGTTCATATRCAACTTTTTCAAGTGGTCCCCTCTCTGTTTCTTTGAATTTGGCTGTTAATTGTTGCATTACTGGTCTGATTCAATAGGCTTTTTTYCCCTCCCATTCTCCTCCTGTCATTGTTATTTAATGGCAAAATGGCAAAATTTCTACAGGAATCTTTTTTTTTTTTTTTCCCCCTGTTGCTTTCTTTTTCCTCCCTTGGTAATTCACTGGTTCCCCTTCTACCTCCTTATGCAATTGCTTACCTTTTTTTCCCTTTCTTTTGCTTATTGTTGCCTCTTATCCTTTACTGTTCTGCATTAGTGCCCTTAGCATCAGGAAAGAGTAGAGCTTGCCTTGTGTTGCTGGTGTTGGTTGGTCTCTGCTGGCCTGAAGAGAGGTGAGTTGTGTTTGTTTACAGAAGGAAAGCTAGAGCTAGCAAAGGGTGCCCTAAGGCTGCAGCCTCAAATCACAGGGTCTGAGGTGTTGCTGGATCAGAAAGGATAGGCAACAGGTTTTTCCTGAACCTCTTTTTCTTTGTAAAGCTGCCTAGAATTGTTTAGCTTTCTCCTCCACCATTGCTTTTCTTCAGATTTCTTCTAGTATAACTCCTAAACGTGTATCTTATCAACAGAAGGTAATACAGTGAAAAAAATCTAAATCAGTGAAAAATACATTTTCTACGAGATTGAAGTATGTGCATCTTTCCATTTTAGCATCTCTCTAGATGCTAAAAACCTTTCGTATAAAGGCATTACTGCTGCTGGTTATTGAGATGAGCCAATTATTCTTCATTTTACCCAAAGTAACTGTGCTTTTTGAAAAAACGGGGATGGGGCTCTATTATTGTTTGGTTATATTTTCRTTTTCTTTGTCTTCCCCTCTCTTTTCCCTAGTATTTGCTGCATCAATAAAGTTATTAGCAAGGAATGAGGTGCTTCACACTATGTGAAGTTGTTCTAGGGTGGCCATCAGCATTGGCAGACCTGTCAGAAGAGGGCCATGGTACTCCCAGCATTGGGGACACCTTTKAAGACTGCTGTTTGTTGCTGCTTGAGGCTACTCCCACAAGACAGGAAAGGTCCTCACTGCAGTTTCATACATGGAAGCTGTTCTAGCTCTCCTCAGGGTGATCTCAGCGGGACTTACCATGGCAGAGGAAACAGGATCCTTTTATTATAGGGTTCTCCTATGGATTCTGCTTTGTCAGGACTAATCAGACCTGTTCTTTCTCTCTGCAGCCTCATTCCCCAAACACTGCCTGTGCCACCACCATTCRGCTGAGGATTGAGTCAGCAGCTGGTGTGGGCCTCCTGAATGGGAGAAGTCAGTGTATATCTGTAGCAATCTGTATTTGGAAACCCCTTAATAACAGAATATAGAAAAACAYGTCAGGGAACTCAAACCCATGTTAAGGTTTAAATTACAAAGGACTAGACTTTCTAATAACAGTTTGAAATTCGATGCTGTGCTTGGTGTGATGTCTCAAAAGGGGAGGGATGCCTAGGAACTCCCTTCCCTGCCTCTTCAGGTGGTATGCAGAGACATCTGGTCGTGCAACTGCAATTGTCCTTGTTTTCAGTTTCTCAGTTGTGTCTATCAACTACAAATAAATACTATGAAAAACATCTGTGCAAAACTGAAAGTCATTTTTTTTTCCCATGGAAGAGGTAAACAACCACTAGATGGGGCTAAATATTTTCAGGACTAGAGAAATAAACAGAACTTTAAAGTTAGAATGCTTTTCTTATAATGACCTGTGCTTCACTTAGCAGAAGTAAATACTTGCTGTAATATGGAGAGTGTTGTGATGTTCATCCCTAGGCATCTTTATTTAGCTCAAAGAAGTGTAAGGGAGGACCTGCTGTATAAACATGCCTGTTAATTCATCCTGGAAAGAGATTTGTCTCTTCCTGCAGTGTCAGATTGATAATTCATAGTTAGATGGTGCTTTTTCAGCAGAATCTGCAGATCCTTTTTTTTTTTTTTTTTCCCCCTGTTAATACCATTACCATACAAAATACAAAATCATAGAATCATCGAATACTTAAGGTTGGAAGGGACCTCCAGAGGTCACCTAGTCCAAACCACRTGCACACACAGGGTCACCTAGAGCACGTGGCAATATTGATTTGATGTCAGTTGATATTAGAGCATTAAGAATCCCAGCTATGTTCTTTAGTAGATTCACAACTACKCCCCATTTACTAAATATGCTGTGTATTACACCAGTGAAAACTGGGAGTRTAGTTAGACCTGATGTAGCCTCTTGGTTACTTCTTGAAATAGCCTATTGCTTTCCTAGCAAGTTGTGGGTTGTTACTCTGTGATTAATTTTTGTTGTATGTTTTGGTTATACCAACTGGCCTTTGTTTTTCTTAATTGCTTGTAGAAGTGCCACACAGGAGAGTACCCAAAATCTTGTTAAATTGAGAGACTTACTTTGCCCTAAATCTTTAAGCTAGTTTTTCTGCAAAAGAATGGAGTTACGTCTGTATCTTCCTGACAAACACAAATGCCTGCTTTTTATTTTTTTTTCACAACACATATGTTTTTCACCTCATGTATGTTTTTACACATTAATTGTTCAGTAGCTTTTCTACCATCTTTCTTAGGTCTGGAGTTCAACTGTTTGGCATGTAATTCTCTGGAATATCCTCTCCCATGTTTGAGTTTGATTTTTTGAGATTGACACTATCTTCAGTCACACATATATATGTATATATGTATATATGTATATATGTATATATGTATATATGTATATATGTATATATGTATATATGTATATATGTATAAATATAAAAGCTTAGGTAATAATTTTGAAAATAACTTACATACTATGGCTTAGAGCAAAATAGGATTACAGTGATCACCTGTATAATATCAGAAGGAACAGGAAAAGCAGGCACAAAACAGGTTTAATATGTTGAAAATTGTCTCAGTAAGAAGTGACTTAATTTAGAAAGTGAAAACAGTTGTTATGCTGATGTGCTAATTATAATAGAATTAATCATCTTGATATTCTTCTTTGTACCTGGGCCCTTTCAAGTTTGAGAGCAGGAGATGCATTTTTTTTTCTTCATGGTACTCTTTAGTACTGGTTTCTTTGAGGTAGTTGGTCGTTTGTTTTGTTCCAAATATTTAGGTACTATGATTGTATTGACCATTAGCTTGCTATGCCAATTGACATCTAGGCAAAGTAGCTTAGMATACTAAATAAATGTTGAATGTGTGTCTCATAACTTCATTAAGTTCACAATTTTCCAAAGAACTTCAGTAAACTCATTGTTTTTAGAACAGTTAGAGGAGTTTGATAAAGGAAAAATGTGCATTTTGACTTCTGAACGCATTGTTTAAATTCCGTCTTACCATTGACATTCTAAGCATCAACTTTTCAAACAGAGGTTTACAGTTTGGGCAGTTGGGAGGAAATAATATTAGCCTGTTATTAAAGTTGCTGAAGGATTGTCATTCTTGTATTTGATGTCGGTGCTTATTTCTGAGGGTGGCCGCTTCAGTAGTGTGCTCGTGTAAAGGTTCCTGTTTTTCTTGCCTATTGAAAACTTTTTTTTTTTTTTAACACTCCCTACCCCACCTTGGTTAGTTTTACAAAACTAACTATTGAATGTAAAAACAAAAAGTTTTGTCTGAGAGGCTCTTTGGTTGATTAATCACAGTTTTGTTTTACAAATTAGTGCAGAAGTCTGGAACAGCAGCAGCAGTTTTCTGAGAGCACAAACATTACTTGCCCCCCCCCCCAAAAAAAAAAAGTAAACGTGTAGGAAAAATGTTCTCCTTTTATTTTGAATCATTGCTCAGGCTCTACCAATCTGGAATTTTAACGTCCTACCTAATACTCTCCCAAGCCAAAACTCTCGTGCTGGCGGTACAAGGGTGTAAGCTGTAACACAGCAGGTAGAATTTCTTATACATGTTTTTTATCTTACAATCCAGTGTGATTTATATAATCTGTGAGATATTCTGTGGTCAGGTTGTGATTTCCAAAGCCCTGGAAGAAGAGGGGTACTTTCTCAAATAGTTTTGCTGGCTTGACATTTCCATGACTTGGTCGAAATGAAGCTCTAATTTATCCAGGCTTCTGCACACCACAGCATACCACAACCAGCTTCCTATGCTGTTTTTTTTCAGAACCTGTTTTGCTTCTGCTCGGGGAAGATTTTCAGGACCTATATGTAAAATCTTTGAGGCTTAGAATTTTTTAGCATCTTTGTGGTGGCTGCAACATGGACTTGCCAGCCCAGGTGGTGTGCCCTGGGCAAGCTTGGGTGGACTGTTCTGTCAGGGCATTGCTGGGAAGCTAGTTCTTGACCTTCTGTTGCATGGGTGGTTTTCAGTGTTTACATCTTCACAAACCACCCACTGGTACCTTTAAAATCATCATTGTTTTGAAATGACAAGAGCAGAACTTGTTCCTGGACTGATCAGGATTCCCACAAACATAACCTGAATACTTATTTTAGATTCCCTCTTATTTTAGAATTGATTTTTGACATTCTTTGTCATAGAAATTGTCACAGATGAAAGCCTCCAGAATTATTCTTGTATTTTACTAATCTGAATGCAAGTTCATTTTTATATATCCTTGGGAGTGAAATGCAAATACTTGTTATTTGAAATTCTGGTTTAGTCTGAATCTCCTAATGAAAGGCGATTTTCTCTCTTTATAGGTATGTGCCATGGAACTATCATGAACCACGACCAGGCGTATATGATTTCTCTGGTGACAGAGACCTTGAGTATTTCCTGCAGCTTGCTCATGAAACTGGCCTGTTGGTGATCCTGAGAGCGGGGCCTTACATCTGTGCAGAATGGGACATGGTACAGCTTTTTTTCTGAAAACTATCTCATTTCTCAATCTAATGCAGCTGTTTTCTTCTCAAAGTAGGAAAATATGCTTGGTGCTTTCTTGGAAAAGACTCCTTGTTAAGCCTCCCCAGTGACATTTTAAAGCACAAACTTACTTAATGTTTGCTTGCTTTTTATTGGGAATTACTGCTTGCCTTATTTTTTTTTGTTGAACTTTTTTTTTTTTTTTTAAATTCAGTCTCAATATGTTAGTAACTGGCTAAATTGTTCTTTATTTGCAGTAAATAGATCACTGAAGTATTTTCCTTTCTTTTCCCAGGGTGGTTTGCCTGCGTGGCTGCTGGAGAAGGAATCTATTGTTCTCAGGTCTTCTGATTTAGGTAAGGGTAGCAGAAGGGCTAGTAGTGGTTTATCTTAACAGCAGGAGGACTTGATGTGTGAGGCTATGTTCAGGTAGTTCATATCTCAGTTTAAGTTATTTCAACACTAAAACCATCAATATTCTTARTATGTTTTCATTGAAGAAGTGTGTGGAAAAAACAAAGTAGAGTAGCAAATCATGCAACTTCACTGGTTAGAGTATTGTAGGACTGAATCCTTCAGGCTGTTGTGGATGTTATCCTTAGAGCTAGGGGATCTTTTTAGCTGTTCATTTGCTAAGGAAATGATTTAAATTGTCCTTTTTTTTTTTTTAATAAAAAGTGGATAGGATGGACAAGGGGAGCAATTTATGACCCCTTCCCAGGCCTTTTCCTAATGATTTCCAAAGCAAGAACCAATTTCAACCAGATTTCAAACTCAGCATGTTTGAAAGATAATGGCAAGTTTTATGAAAATTCGTGCCAAGAGAGATAAGTTATTGGTATCATCTAGAAAAAGGAATGTAGTTTTCATCTCTGAGATTTTCTGTTTGGCAACAGCCAAGTGGCCACTCATTGTCGGAGCCTTTCTTGGCTTGTCGTTGTGCATGTAATTCCAGAACTAGTTACAGCACCGTTATATTACTTGGTCATGAACATGACACTGACAGGTGAAAGGAGACAGAAGATTAATGTAATTATTGGAAAGARGATTAGAGGACAAAGATATAATTTCATATAGTATGTTCTGCTGGTCATTGGATAAGTTATCTTTTTTTTTTTTTAAGTGCCGACAGCAACATTGAAATATGTTTTTCCAYTGAAATGCATTAGGACAACTTGTCTGAGATTTCTGGTGATTTTCAAAGTCGAACAGTGTTTGAGTATTTTTTTTTTTAGTGACTCTACCAATTTATTGAAAGATGAAAATTATGAGCATGCGTAAGAGCATGTCAGTTCATTAGATGCTATTCTTATATATGTTATGTAGTTAGAAAAAAATACTGCACATATATAACTTAAAATAAAAATCAGAAGTATAAAACAGAGAAGTTGTGAACTGTTCACAGTGTCACTTTGTGTATCACAGATTACCTGGCTGCTGTAGGGAAATGGATGAGTGTCCTTTTGCCAAAGATGACACGTTACCTCTACCAAAAGGGAGGTCCAATCATCATGGTGCAGGTAACTTTTTGGAAATCCAATAAGCCCAAGCAGCATGGATGCTTGCATTGGTTTTGCTGTCACTTCTTGTATTTGGTGGTAAATGCACACAGCCACTCCTAAGCAGTTTCTGGTAACTAAAGGATTCTGATGAGATCCCTCATCCAGGAGAGCTGTCTGCTGTCTCCAGAATTTAGAGTGCATTTGTCTGCTCTATACAAGTTGTTTCCTACTAGTGTAGAAAGCAATAAAACAAACTTGCTTTTACACAAGTTACACARACTTGTGCAACTTCTTAGATCTGAGTCTTGTGCTCTCACGTGGAGCAAAAACATTCACATTATCTGAAACGCACGCAGGCAAAAAGTTGAGTAAAGATACCTGCAAATAGAAGCAAAAGCAATGTGCAGTAAGCCTAAAACTTGAAAAAAGTTTTCAAAGCCTGGGCTTCAAGTGTGTGACTTGAGTCRTGAATATTTCAGCATATGATATTGGGCATGCATAGGGGGTATTTTCTTTCTTTCTTGAACTCCTTCTAGAGTGGTGATTATTCCTTTTTCATACTTCACATTTGACAATAACTAAAGCTTCATGCTAATTGCTGGCTTTCACAGGATGGGAGACCCTTCTTAAAGATCAGTCAAGATCGCTGTTCTTGAGCAATGTATTGATCACTGTTCTTGAGCAAAATTTGTATTCATTAAAAGCACTGGGCTAAAATATTTCTTGGCAAAACCAGGATATTTGGAACAAGTTTGTCAGAGATGCTTAGAGAAATGCTTGGCATTAGATCAGAGGCTGAGAGTTGGCCTCTTGGGAAAGGGGGAAAGGAAGTAGACATTTCAAATAGTGGGTTATCCAATCCCTTAAATGTATTGCAGACTTTACTGTTCATGTAAGCTCTCCACTGACCCTTTTTTATTCATAGGTATATCTGTTCTGGAAGTCCAACTCCACAACAATTTTGATCGTGGTGCAACCTGGTCTGTGTTTTTCACTGGTTTGCTAGGAGCTGGGCCATAGTTCTTCATTTTGAATAGAGATCATGTTTTCATTATTGTTACTGGGGTAACAGTAGCATAAGATAAGGGAAGAGACTTTTATGTGAAGTTGAAAGGATTTTGTAGGAGAATTGCTTATCCCTAGACTATGGTGCTCTACTGTAGGATACTGAAAGGAATGAGGACCTGGAAGTACCATCTTCTGCTGCTGCTGCTCAGTCTCAAATTAAATTGACTATTTCATGGTTATCACCAGAGGAATAGGAAGCCTAGATTTAGGCTACTCATTTTCAGTCTTAGATGCAGATCCAAACTGGCTGCTGCTTACATGAATTATTTTTACCACGCAGGTAGAGAATGAATATGGAAGCTACTTTGCTTGTGACTACGACTACCTGCGTTTCCTTCAGAAGCTCTTCCGCCAGTATCTTGGAGATGAGGTGGTGCTCTTCACCACTGACGGTGCAAGCAAGTCTCACTTGAGATGTGGAGCTCTTCAGGGTCTTTATGCAACAGTGGACTTCGCCCCAGGTTGGAGAAACTGTTTGCTTTTTTAAAAAAATAAATTGTATATGCGTGGGTGGCAGGAAAAATGGTCTCCTTGACCGACTACTTAAATGGAGTAATAGGCATAAATGACTACTTAACACATCATTAAACATAAAAGAATTACTCAAAAGTACCCAATTACAAAGTCATAATCACTTTCTGTTGGTTGTTTTTATTTATTTAATGGCTTATGCCTGTTTCAGAATCTAGCCCTCCTAGTTTATTTCTTCAAGCTAGTGGTTACTGGAGAGAAAAATGWTGCTGAAAACCATCACTGGAAATGTGTGTGCCACCACAATTTGTAGGAATATAGAATGGCTAAGCACAAAGCAGTGTTTTCAGGAAGAGCCTATTTGATTAAAGAGGAGAATTAATGCTCTGCATATTTTTGCTGCATAGGCCTCACAAAAGGCACAAGAAACATACTCCAAGGCAGTGTTTTCATTTTTTTTGACTTGTGGTCACTCTCCTCTAGTGTTCTCTAAGCAGTCAAAGATGTATACTTTTTAAAAAATTCTTTATGTATATCATTTCTTGAGTTGTTGTTATTTACTGTCCCTAAGGCTTAAGCCACCTCGAGTGATGAAAAGTGCAACTCCTATTTGCAGGTTGCCTGGCATCTGTTCTTTCCTATAGTTTGGTAGCAGAACTGCAGGCCTGTACTTCTCAAGGTTTGTAGTAACTCTGACACCTCYCAGACTTTATGGAGTGAGGATGTCATTCTCAGGTGGATTTTTGCTAGGTCTTGGAACAGGCGTAGACACGTGTTTCAGCACAGGGCAGGACAGGAAAAAGCCATGGATGTTACAACTCASTTACACTTTTGTCTCTTTCTAGGCGTCAATGTCACAGCAGCATTCTTAACTCAAAGAGCCAGTGAACCTACAGGCCCTTTGGTATGTCTTTTTGCTCAAATTTCTTGTATCACTCCTAAGCTTTCAGTGATTAGTAATAGACGATTTGAGAGCAGTGTGCTGAATACTTCCTTAGGGACAGGTTTATGGGGACATCATTTCCAAATCAGTCAGAGAAGCTGAATCAAGGAGCTTCTGCATGTGGTTTTTTTCTATGCCACACTTACTGGTGTTCTGCAAATATTAATTTAGTCTCAGAAGAAATTGATTTTTGTTTCAGTGTATTTCCTAGCAAAGACAAATGTTTACAAAGCAGCGGAAACAGTGAGTATGATTAGATGAGTTAGTGAGGTATGTGTGTGGGTGGAAGCTAAAAGCCAAAATTAAAAGGGCAGGTTAGAAGTTGCTTCCTGTTTTTTAGCTACCCCAGAGTTTCTGCATAAGTGGTAATGGGATGTGAGGTCGTTGGAAGCCATTTTGACAAAGAGAGAGGGTCCTTTGCTATCTCTGTGTTGTGAAATTATCTAGAACACAACTTAAGAATGAGTGATTTATTTTGCATCTAATTCACATATTATTCTGTGTATAACATATTGATATTATCGTTTATTTTGATGCCAAGTATCTGAAACATATTCAGGTTGGCAAGTTCCAGGGAAATCTGTTTATTTCAGCACTGACACAATCATTTTCAAAATGTCCATATAAAATTATTGAACCAATTCTAAAGTGCCCATATAAAATTATTGAACCAATCCTTTAATCTCTTTGACCAGTCATCTGCTGGTAAGGACTAAATTTTGTATATACCTTGCTGTATTTACAGCAGTTTAAAAATGGCTCATATGAGTCAAGGTGCCTTTTATCCTTTCCTCTTACAGTTAGTAACCTAAATTACATTGCATTCTTGCTCTCTCTTAATATTTTCCCTTCCCATTTTGCCCATCTTTCTTTCAGGTTAATTCTGAGTTTTATACTGGATGGTTGGATCAYTGGGGACACCGTCATTCTGTTGTGCCCGCACAAGCAATAGCTAAAACCCTTAATGAAATCTTGGCACGTGGTGCTAACGTGAACCTGTAAGTATGTGTTCRGTAGAGATTATTTTTTTTTTCCTGGTGTGGAGGGGTGTTTTGCTTTGTTGGCACTCAGCAAAACCTGGTTGAAGCACACTGTGTTTTGTTTTGCTTTCAGGTACATGTTTATAGGTGGGACTAACTTTGGCTATTGGAATGGTAAGAAATGATATAAGTGATTTAATAATATAGTGGAGSTACTTATGAATTAGGCAGTTATGTGCTAGTCTCTGTAAAACGATGAGCCATGTATGCTTTCAAATGGCCAGAAAGAACCGCAGTAGCTGTTCTAAGCCCACATGGTATTTGCCTTTGCAAAGGGTGGGGAATAAGTATGGYCTTTGCTTTACCCAGTTCTGTAAAACAGTTGAAAAATGAGTAAATCTGATTCTCTTCAGGATTTTTGTGAAGACTATATAATAGAGCAGTGAGAGCTTAGAAGGACTGTGTCCTCTATAGCTCTATGCGAAATAGTTTCTCTGTGCCTAATCCCAAATCCCATAKCCTGACAATCTAGCTATGATCAGAGATCTGAAAATTGCCCCCTTTGGAAGAAATGACGGCTTTACATTTTCTGTTCCTTCTCCCCACCTCTGTTACCCCCCATAGGTGCTAACATGCCCTATTTGCCACAGCCCACTAGCTATGACTACGATGCTCCACTGAGCGAAGCGGGGGATCTCACAGAAAAATACTTCGCCTTGCGGGAAGTCATTGGAATGGTGAGTATCCTTAGGACATGTTTAGGATGCAAGATCTTGCACCTCCCTTTGACTGTCTTGATGCTTCTATCCCTCCCTTTCAAAGGAGGAGTGGGTCTGACACTCTGAGATAATTCAAGTCTATTTTTTTTTAATTTTTCTTTTGTTTGTTTCTGTTTGTTGTTCTGTTTTTTTTTTTTTTTTTGATGGTTTATTTTCTTCTCTTGGATTTGTTTTCTCCCATCTTTCTCCCATCCCATCTCCCATCAGAGCTGGCGCGAGGGCAGCGGAGGGAGAGGAGGAAGGGTTTGCCTGGGAGGAAGAATGAAGGGCAAACGTGCAGGGCTTCCCCTTCAGCACTGAGAAGCCACTGAGTCAGTTCAGGCTGGTCACTTCACTTCAGCCTGATACGTGCTGCACCTTAAGAGATTTGACTGCCTGCCTGCCAAGCTCCAAGTTGTCATTCCGGGTCTCTGGAGCCTCTGTGAATGTCACTTGTGGCTATTGGTGCTGTTTTGTATTGTTTGTTTTTATTTTTTTTAAGCATTGAAGTGAGAAGCACCTCTACAAAACTGGATTGAAATACAAAATCTGTGTGATGATTTYGAAAAGCTTACATTTCAGGGCATTCAGACTGGGTTTAAGGGCAAATTTCCTGGAAAACCAAAGATTCAAGCCTGTACCTCTCTCCTGTTGCATGCAAGAAACGTTGYTCTGCACTAGAAGACACTTTTTGGTGGGAGTTGGTCTCACAGAAATTTATTATGCAGTTTCTAGGATTAAGTATGCCTTTTTTCTTCTCACCTGTCTAATAAAGCTTAGTATGGATGGGATGATTTTGATGCAGCTCTTCTCACCAAAGGAATTCCCAAACTTCCTGTTTTCGAGCTGTTTTCTTCAAGRCAAGATTCCTATCTGAACTTTAGTGTTCTGGTACAGTTGAGACAGCCTTGATAAGATCTGAAGTGTTCAGTATGAGCTAAGGTGTGTTGGGCCATGGTAGAGCTTTTATGGTGTGGTTTGCTTATCTCTTACCTCTTACCTTCCATATCCATAGGATCTCAGTGAAGATTTTTTGTCTATGCTGTGGGTTCTAAACTCATAATAATCTATCTACTCAAATGTAGTTTGAGCTGAAGCTACCATAAGAAAGTAAAGCTACCATAAGGAAACAGTCATATGTAGCTAATGACTGTTTTCGATAGGTTAATGTGTTGCAATCTTGCTTTCAGTTAATAAATATAATGAGGAAGGTTTCAGGCTAAAGCTGCTTTCAGTTACTCACAGCATTTTCTGATTTCTACTGTGAGGGCTGAAAATTTCTACTTTTGGTTTCTTCTACCAAGTGAATTTAGTTTTTCTTTTTGTTTTTTTTTTTCTGTTCTTTAAAGCCTTCTTCAAAAAATTGAGTATTTTCAAACACAGAAGTACAAATGAGCTTGTTACCCAGAAATATGAATCAGGTTTTTCTCAGCCTGTGGTTGAGAGTTGACAGAGAAGCAGTGGGAATTGCGCTGCTCTGACCTGTTTAAAAAAATAAAGACCAACCAAAGAAAAAAAGTAGAAAATTCTTCTAGTGCAGAGGCAATTTTGAGTTTGAGTTTTACGCTAGGTAAGTCCAACAAAACCCCCAAGAGAAATGGCCCTTCAGCACCTCCCCAAATTTATTATTAAAAAAAAAAAACCTTAAGAATTACCAAATTTGTCATTTGAAGTGACCAAATGTGCAGATTAAGGTAACCAGGTGGGATCACTTGTGCACTTATATCAGAAAGTAGACTTAGACTGCTTGATCACATAGGTTGCTTGCCTGCAAAACCTTTTCCTCTATAGTACATGGACAGGGCCATGTGCTGGAAATGAATGATGGATTGGGAAGTCTGAACTTAAAGCCAGGGACAAGCAATGGGAGGAAAGGGGAGAGGGTTTGGTGTGGCAAGAAGATAAGGAGGTTGGAGGCTCGGGAATGGGAAGCTTGGGGTTCAGGGAGAGTGAGCTTATGTAAACTCACCTTAAAGGTGTCCAAGAACCTTAAAGGTTTCCAAGGACAACTTAAAGGTGTCCGAGAGCTGGTGGACACCCTTCACCCCTAAGTTGTTGCCCCTGACCGGGAGGTTTTCACAGCTGCTTCCAGAAGAAGCCGGCCTAGGCAGCAAGGGGTTAGCAGGTTTTATGGAGRGGCCGCAAGCTGGAACCCTGAGCTGGGAAGGCAGGCATGAGAAGCTARTAATTCCCAAATGGAAGCGCAGCCAAGGAAGGGTAGGAGGGTCAGTGGAAGTGGTGCCCTTAGCAAGGCTGAGCTGGAGCAACAWCCCGTTGACGTGCGGGTGGCTCTGGAGGGGCCGCAATCCAAGCTGCGGCCACGGGAGGGCTCCAAGGGCCCGCAGCTGCCTGGCCTGCTCTCGGTTTTACAGCCACCTCGASTTAAGCGTTTATGAACATTTACATTTACCGTATGTGATAAAATCCGATTTCTTTCTGAAACCCTGCTTCTGAGCCCAGGCGCAGGTGTAATTCATTAACATTGGGCGAGTATCTACTTTTAGCCAAAGTTCAACTTCTGTAAATTGTGAAGCGGAAAGTGAGAATTCGCAAACATGTTTGTATTTGTTTCATGTGTTTTATTTTTTTTTCTTCCCTTTCTAGTATAACCAGTTACCAGAAGGCCTTATCCCTCCAACAACACCCAAATTTGCTTATGGGAAGATTCGCATGCAGAAGGTAAATTAGCATTTGTAATCTCGTAGGCAAATCTTTCTGTAGTGTTGCGTGTTTGATTATTGCAAGAAATATTAGAGGGTGTAGTGCCAGCCTCTAGCTGACAGGCAAAACAGAAGGGAAATGCTTGAAAGCAAACATTCATAAAGGAGGCCATAGAGTTTGAGAGCTAAGAATCATGCCTATGATGGAAAAAAAGCAAATGTTTGCTCTCTGGAAATAAAAGATAATTTTACAACATGCTGTATGTTGGCAAAGTTTTGCTAAACGGAAATGCTGTATCTTCACGATACAATAGAATTGTATAACTGAGGTAACTCGTATAAATAATGTAGGTCAGGGAACGCTAGCACAAGAGATAAGAGCAAAGAGTGTTTCTGTAGCTGGTGATGCCTCTGGAAGGGAAAAGGCGGGTAGGATATGTGTATCTTTTAAGTAAATAGTACCAGCTTCTGTTAATTTTGAATATGGATCACTGTAAATAAATTTGAAAGGCTCAGTGATGTAGCTTCTTGCAGGACTTAGGAATATGTGCAACTGATGAGAGAAATTAAATGATTTTCCTACTGAGGGAAAAGCATGCCGAATCCAGCCTGTTTGGCAGCAGTCAGGTCGCTGGCCAGCACATAAATAGCTGGGGTCTGCCCACAGCGCTGTCATTTTAGGGTCATTGACAGTTTTCTGTGATGCATGCCTGGGAACCAGATTATTGCAATGAGCAGAGAGGAAGGTTTAGGAGATGCAAGAGATAGGCTGGTATGAACTTGGCCTCATTCAYTCTGCTGCTCACAGAGAAGTTGTCTTGAGGTGGAGGATTGCTGTACGTTGTGCACTGGGTGCTCTAATTCATAATGTTTATATGTTGTGCTCTACATTTTGAGCCCGCCACCCTTTCAGTCAGTGGCATATCTGATCTATCATGCCACTACAGCCGAAGTGTTGCAAAATTTGGTAGTGATAAGGTTTTGCAGCCGTTAAGTCATCCCACTCAGYTGGTGGGCCGGAATCAGTTTTTCATAATGGTGATTCACCACTGGAGATGACAAAGATCTGTATCATTTTCATCAATCCTTGAGGACCTTCAGACATTTCAGACAAGAACTTTCTGTGTGAAATTGCACTAAATTGGTTTATATCTGGTAGTGACTAATTTTACATCTTTATCAGTACACSTGCTGTTTATGCTGCTGTCATAGGTGTGAGTTGCATCACTACAGGGACTTTGTAATCAAATTCTGAGTCTCCATTTTCTTATAGTTCATGCATCTCAGATAGGGCTGTCCCATTTCCCTGGAATGATGAACTTTCCCTTGCATCCCTGCAAAACAATGAAAGCTGAAGCATGTCTGGCCCGGAAAGCTTCTCAGAAAGGAGAGATAAGAACAGATAACTAAAGTGACTTAAACATCATGGCTTTGGAGTGGTCATCACAGTGGAAATCCTGTTCCTGTAGAGTTTCTTGCTGTAGAGTTTCTTGCTGTTTGAGAGGACACGTTTTACTCTGTACCCAGCAGTTTTCGCAAGTGAGACGGCATGTCTATACTGACAGGTGTGAGTTTCCTATCGTTGCCTGTACAGATACTGCCATCTGCACCCAAAGCCTCTAGATTATTTTCTGGGAAGAAAGCTGCTTGCTGTTCTATGAAGCCACTGTTTATTTCAGATGCTGTGCTTCAATGCTCTGTCATGGGTGCTGTGTAACCTAAAAATCAGAGAGCGTTTGTTCTCCGCAGTGTGTTTTCGTCCCTGTTCTGATAAGGTAAAGTTTGTTTCTCCTATGCACTTTGTTAGGAGAAACCTAGAGGTATCCAAATGAATATTAAGGAAGGAATATTACAAGACTTCAACTTCTGTAATCAGAATCTTCCCAGCTGTAACATTTGCAGTGACAAATGTTAGCTACAACAGCTACCATAGCACGTAGTATCCAGTAATACCAGGAAGTTTCACTGTGCAGTGAAGGGCCAGCAATCAGTCTCCTATGCAAAGCTTTGAATCTACTGCTTTGAACCAACTCCCATGGCCCTTTTGCTGAGAAGGAGGAGGAAAGGAGGCCTTGGATTGCTTTAGGTACATGTATGGTATACCTCAGAGGAACATGTAACCAGAGCAGCCTCCGCCTGTAATCTTTTCTACAAGACATTCTGTGATTAATTCAGCCTCCAAATATCTGATGAGCTGCTCAGGAGTGAAGTTTGAGAAAAGAGATGGCATCTCTTTGGCATCTTTGGTGATGTCTATGAGGTTCACTGGCTCTGGGCATTATTCATTTATTTATTTAGTGCATGTGTGGGGGAGGTATCTAGGAGGGATAATATATGAAGGGTGAAGGATTTCCTGGCAGATAGCAATAGGGAAGACGCCAGATGAAGTGATGTRGAGTGACTAGAAAGAGCACAGCACAGAAGTGCTCTCCTTCCTCTTTCTTACACCTCAGGATGGCTCTTCCAGCAGAGCCTGCTGTTATACACACATATGTGAAGTACTTACTGAGCTATAGAATTGACATAGTAATGTGATGATTCTAGGATCACGAGTCTCTTACTATTTTATTATGTTTCATCTAAATTAATTTGCTTGTACTTCTTACTATATTGTGGCACAGGGAAGAAATCTGAGAAATAAGTGTTAAGCGTTCTGCTGTTTAAAGGCTCTGCCAAAACTTCTGCAAATACTTTGCCCTAGTTGAGTATAATTGGGGAACCCAGGGGAAAACAGTCCCCTGGTCAGACAGGTCTCATTTTGAGCTATTGAATGATTTTAAAGTAAAATCTCTGGGTGATAGGGAGGAAGAGAGAGAATTCATTAAAACTTGCCTAGGCAAACTAACATTGCTCCAGCAGAGGCCAGGGAAGCAAGCCATAAGGAAACATCTTACTGCAGAGATACAAAAGAGAAGTGTTGAAGGGGCAGGCAAAGGCAGAACAGCAGTAGGTAGGATCAAGAAACGTGAACAATGGATGGGGATCAAGACCCAGAATGCAGGGAACATCTTTTCCAGAGGCAAACAAATGAGTTTTGGTGTCTGCAGGCTGTTTATGTGGCTGTGCAGGCTTGCAACCAGGTGGTAGTTTTAGCTCATCACCTAGAGGACCCTGGAGAGTGCTTGGTCATGAGTGTAACCTGTGGATCCTGGAGCTGACATCAGTTCTTGGGGTGGAGAGAGCTTGAGCAAGAGCAAGTGATGGGCTCCTCTGGCACGTGTTCATCTGTGCAACCATATGGGCAAGAAGAGGTGGAGGCAGAAATGGGCTTAAGCAAAAAGGATGCTTGACCATATCCTTTGATTTTTTCAAAAAGTGTTTTTGCAGTTTGCTAGTAGTTATCAGATTATGCTGTTTGCAGRTTGTTTTAAAAAATTCTTTACTGCATTTGTATTTTTTAAATCTACTGTTAGGTTTTTGTTGTGATAACAATTGTCCACTGAGTAATAAACAGGAAATTGCAGCAAGAGCAGATGTGTGAGATATGTGGGTGCTTTTTTTTTTTTTTTTTAAGTATGTATATGATGAAGAGAAATGGATTTAGTCAGGTCAGTCATGCTATCAAAGTTAGAGTGATAAGATGCAGAATAAAAAACGATCCATTTAAGTTGCAAAGGTATAAACTTCTATTAACCCAGTCTGCAAGCGAATTAGGTGTACCTATTTGCAGAATAAAAGCCTCTTTGATAGCAGGAGCTTAAAAAATAGTGAAATGGGCACTTGCACAAGCTRCTAATGACAATTCATAGGTTATTCAAGTGATTATGTGCAACTTAATACCACTTACATCTGTTTTTTATTTCATTATCTACCTGGGGTAAAGGCCATTAGCGCTCATAGGGCTGTTGTGTGTTTCTGTAAGGAAGCTCCCTCAGGATCTGTGCAGATCTCCAGCTTTGCAGCCTGCAGTACAGGGCCCAGCAGTTCAGTCCTACCAGCAGCCTACCAGCCCTGCATTGCAATTTAGCATTCATTGCCTGCTCYTTTGGAGGGGCGCAGCATGAGGAACAGGGCACAGCAGCAGCCCAGAGCACTTGGGGAATTTCACTCTCTGGAAGGCAATTGCAGGTATAGTTCTTAAGTTGTAGCTTGAGTTTCCTCCAAGAACTTCCTGCTGCTTCTCCAATAATCTGAATAATTTTGAGTGTGTTTGGTACCCTGCATGGGAAGGGAGGTGGATGCTGTGCCAGGTTTTGGTCTGTTGAGACCAACATGCACAAACAGTGCGACAGATRAGCCAAGTTGTGGTGAGGCAACATCAGAGCTGCTGTGGGGARGGAAGGGTGTGCTCTTCTTCATGGAAACAGGCAGGTAAGTGGATACTGTCCTGCCGTGTCCTGAACATGGAAAGGATTTGGGGACAGGCAGGCCACTAAACCAGGTGTTGCACGGTCTCCATCTACTGCTGCATTGGATGGATGGATGTCGGTATGTCAGAATACAGGGGATGTTTCCTCAAAAAGAAAGAGTGCAGATGAAGGGAGAGTGGTTTATGTGTTTCCTGAGCATGCAAGCTGTGCAAAGTAGCAGCTGGTGGATGTGCTGCAGTACCTTGCTCTCAGTTTAGAGGGGGCAGATASCAAAATACTGTCGTTGCAAGAGAAACAATGTGACTTTTGTTTGTGCATGCTGGAGGAAAAAAGAGCGTGTACATGGGTGATTGTTGATGGCTTCCGTCACCTATGGCAAGTATTTCACACGGTCTTGTCTTAGTATTTTCAGCACTTCTCATTTTGAGTATGTTGTGCGAAAATTTAATACTTCCGTTACTCAAACAATCTAAGGAAGTCTTTTTTCTTTTTTTCCTGACAATGCTGTTGGATTATGTGGCGTTATGCTATTTTTAAAAACCTGTAGTTTTCTTTATTACTCCATTTTTTTTCCTAAGAAGGCATTCAAAAGCCAGTCTGGGTTTGGGATGCTTTCAGTGTCTTCTGTGTAATTACCACTGAGCAGCGGCAGTACTTTTTGTGCAATAAGCCCAGATCTTTCATGAAAAATGTAAACACAATTGATTTTTGAGCTTGGAGGATAATGTGCATATTGTGCGCATCTTTATTAACATACAAAATTAATAGCAGAATTTGAGGAAGAATTGTAGGTGAATAAAAATTTTCTTACAGCCATATGTAAGTCGGGATTCAGCAGGATATTTAAGCCTGTGACTAGCCTAAACCATGCAGTCCATCTCACTAAAATCAGTCCAAATACTTATGTATCTAAGTAAAGTATATAAAAAAAATAGATGAAAATATAATAGATGAAAGTGTATAAGTAGTATGGAAATTTTCATTAGCTTGTTTTAAGTACCCTGAGTGAAATCTGGATAATTCAGTTGTTTTAGCTTAATTGTCCATAATATCTTCTTACAGAACTTCTGTGAAAAACTTCTGCATTTGTTCTCATTAAAAATAAAGCGATCCTTTATTATTTATGAGTCCAAAGCAAACTTAAAAGATCTAAAGATCTGTGTTTGGGRTTTTTTTTTAAGTGTTCTTCTATAGGTACCATGTTTTCTTCAGGTGTCATCAGTTCTCTGTACAGTGCTCTATTATTGCACATTACTGAGGTATCTCAATGTATATAAAGGTGACCTAAGGACTTCATTTGTCTCTGCTTTCCTTTTTGACAAATACAGCTAGCTGGYCAGGTGGCCTGATCCGAAAGCTACTTTATTTAGACTGAATTTTGCTGACCTGCCCATCTGCTTTTTCTCTGCTGTAGGTGGGTACTGTGGTGGACGTTCTTAACAAACTCTCATCTGCTGGACCAGTAAAAAGCACTTACCCCTTAACTTTTGTTCAACTAAAGCAGGTAAGGATTGTTTGGGTAGGCACTTGCAGTCCTTTTGTGAAGCTCATTTGAACAGCACTGCATGGTGTGACTCCTCTCGTGTTCGGTGTCTTWTACCATATCTCTGCACAGGTAGTGATAGTGTTGACAAGGTGTACAACACTTTTGTACTGGAGGCGTTTCCATATCTGACACTGCTCCTGTTTTASACCTGAGATTATCCTCTTTCCAAGAATGTAGGTGTATGTGCTCTCCAGACTCACTGCATCCTTTCTAAAGTACTGATTTTCAGGTTTTCAAGATAATTTGATATTTTATCCATCTATCTTTTTTTTTTTTTCATCTCTACTCTTTTTCCTTATTCTTATTTTCTCTTTTTCTTCCCACCTACTACTCTACCAGAGTGGGAGCAATGGCTGAGATGAAAGCACATTCTTATGCAGAGAGAATGGGTCATGCAACCGTGACACTTTGGTTGCTTTAAGTCCCTTCTGTTACTAAGTGTCTGGTGGACCAAGAGAAGGTTAAAAGGGAAAACTTTGGGAGTGACCTCTTGGACCTGTTGCAGCTCACTGCCCCGGGCATTCACCCCGCTGGTAGAGATGGAAAAGTGCCGAATTTYGCTCTGGCTTCTGCTGAATCCCCTTCCACCTTCTTTGCTCCTCTCTTTCTACATTAACTTGTCAGTTGTGGTGACTTTCCATAGCTTCCCTTGCAGTGCGAGGTCTTGCCTTTGTGACTGAGTGACTCTTTGCTTTAGGGGCACATGTCTGGGCTCAGCTCAGCACGGGCTGGTGCATGGGTGCTGTTTGCCTGGGGCCAAAATCAGCTGCTCGCAGGGAATGTGATGGTGGCAGTAGCTGGGGGAGGGAGATRGGGGGGAAACAGTTCAGCTTGTGCCTCGGATATTTTACAAGGTGTTATTCAAGTAGAAAACTCACTGGTTATCCTCTGGCCTTCACGTTTTATAATGTCTTGAGTAGGAAAACTCCTGAGAAAAGAGGGCAGCCAGTGGAGCTTCCAAAACCTCCGTTTTCTGTGCACTTGCTTGCAAGTGATGCTYGTAGTTACAGAGGGCAGGAACTAGTTTACTCTCACTTCTTCCTGTCAAGGCCATGCTAAAATCCAAATCTAACAGATAAATGATTTTGTGGCTACTGGGTGAAAGAGAGCATTTTTTGTTTGGTTTTTAATTTGTGTTTCACTTTTGATAAGAACAAATCTAAATTTTTTTTTTCTCTTTTTTTTTTTTTCCCTGCTGGGGAACTTGGTGAAAAATCTTCTAAAATTCTCCTGATATAAATCAGCTAGTTTGTAAAAGACATAATCCATCTGATTAATATGTCAGTTTGGGTGCAGTGAGTGACTTTTAAGTGTATTACATAAATTCAGCTATGGAGGGATTTTCCAAGTATTTCTGTCAGTGTTTTTAATGAAGAACTCAGTGTTGCGGATAATTAACTGTTTTGTTTTCGTTGTGGAAATACCTCCCTAGCTGAGAGCTTTATCTTTTAAGGTTATGTACATGTACAGATGAAAGATTTAAAAATGGAACTTTTTAAAATTTTCACTCATCTAAAGGTCAAAGTAAAATCTAATCTTAAACTGCTATCTCTGATAAACGCTATCTGAAATGAGCAAAAGGTGATGTTTCAGTCAGAATATGTAGGCAGGAATGTGGAATATTTCCAATTCATGACCTGAACTGAAGCTACAGATTAACCTTATTAATGAATCTTCTCTCTCTTTTTTTTTTTCTTCTTTATTTCTTGCCCCGTTTCCTAGTATTTTGGGTTTGTACTGTACAGAACTGTCCTTCCGAAAAACTGTACGGAGCCAACACAACTCGCTTCGCCTCTGAACGGAGTCCACGATCGAGCCTATGTCTCTGTGGATGGGGTAAACTCTGTCTTCTGGTATCCATTCCTGCTATGAATAGTCTTCACCCAATGCTTGTGGTCTGCCTTTTTTTTTTTCTGATTCTCCTCCTCTTCCCAGCTTACCAACATAGCTGTATTAAATGATCACATTATGAAAAGAAAAAGAAGGAAGGAACTCTACAACTGATTCATGTTAAGTGTGTTAATACGTWTTTTTAGAAAACAAGAGTGTGCCTCACTTCTAAGGAAAATGTAATAGTTTCCACTTTTGAAATATTTGAATATTAATATAGGCTCGTGACTTCAGTGGAAAAATACCTAGAAGAAGGGCTTACTTGCAGGCTCATAAAATACTTTTATGATACTTTCTACAGTGTTTCCACTGATTTTTTTCTTGTTCTTTTTTCCTTTGAGGGTAGGAGGAAGTGGAAGCCTGAGCTTACATCTTACCTTTTGAAACCGGCTTCTGACCACAAATTAAAGAAGAAGAAATTTTACCTTGCCTTCCTTGAGCAAGCTTTTGTTCTTGCTTAATAAAAATCAATATCAGTTCATGGATTTTGATAGCTTCTATTCTTTGATCTGTGCAGATTTGCATAACCATGTGCATAACCTTCATGTAAACTGAAAAGACAAATAAGAGAAGGTCTTTTTCAATGGTTTTCTTCCTTTTTGTATGTTTCGTTCAGGTTCCTCAGGGTGTCCTTGAAAGGGGTGTATCACTCGCCATAAATATCACTGGGAAGGCTGGAGCAAATCTGGACATCTTGGTAGAGAATATGGGCAGAGTCAACTTTGGGCGATTCAATAATGACTTCAAGGTAAGTAAAGTCATTTAAGCCATAGGCACCTTTCACCCCTRCCTCTCCCTGTGCCCCTTTTCTCGAGCAAAAGGATCAGGATTATGCAGCTGTAACTTTACTTCAAAATCTAACAACTCACTAGTTTCATTTGAGTCACTGAAATCAAAGTGGAATTAAAAATAGTTCTTTTAATTTTTTTTTTTCTGTTGGCTCACTTATGCTGCCAGTCAGAGTGTCTCCCACGAGACTTTCAGGATGAATTGAACGTGTAGCTGGCGTCTTAAGATGGGCAAAACTGTTAGGATAAACTCAAAAAGAGGCTGGAACTCCAYTTAGATCTTGGCCTTACTTTGAGGGCCAAGGTTGAATTCACCACCCTTACTTGGAGGTGAATCTTGGGGGTTATATGTACATATACACATACATATGTCCTTCTTTATCCAATTTCATTTATCAGCAGCGTACCCCTGCCAAAGTTTTAGGCTGTCTCACAGGCACTCTACCAGGCAAAGATTCCTGCTGAGACATTAGGAGTAAATAGCAGAAAGCCCCTGAATGCTTGTGACTACCCGCTGCACTTGGGAACTGTCACCCATCTTCCTAAGTGGTGATGCCAGTAAAGTAACACTGGGAAGGGCAGGAACAAAAGGGATTTTTTGCACATTTTAGACATATTGGGATTCTGAGTGCTGTATATTTYTTTTTCCAAGAGGAGGAGCAGAGAGCAGTATTGTGGCATATAAAACCAGGTGCCAACATGAGTGGCAGTGCTGCCTGTGCTGCCTTTTCCCTGAGCGTCGAGAGAGGGCAGCTAGTTGAGCGGTGTTTTGACTTCAGCTCAAATGCACGTTTCGTTGTATAAGGAGGAAGTGCCCAGGTGATCAGGAAACCTGTGTGCTGGGTGCTCAATKAGCAGGGCCAAGGATGGATTAGGCRGCTGCTGGTTGTTGCTGTGGTTGAGCTGAAATTCACACTTAKGCCAGTCGTCAGCCTTTGAAAGATTAAGAATGAAAGCAAGTTTAGTTAGGCTCGTGCACATTGAGAACAGCCCTCTAAAAGCAGGATCGTTGCAGACAGGAGAGCGAGTCTTTCTCAAGTCGCTTCTGAAGGCGTGTGTGCTTCTTTACATTGAATGTCTCGCTCTGTTCCTTAAGGCAGATGTTCTTTGTGTTGACTTTGAAACAAGGAATAACTATGCCTTGTTGTTTAGGGTTTTTACACAAATGCAACTTTGCAAGGTAGGGTAGTCCGCCCTAAAGTTATTTTTGAAATGCTGCATTTTTAAGCAAGTATGATAGCTCGTTTGGGTTTTCTTTGACTGTTTTTTTTCTCCTTACTTTTTTATTCACGTTTGAAATGGACCATCTTGCTTTGAGGAAAGAGCGTTGAAAGAGTTTTTTGGTTTTAAAACACTGCTGACCTAAGTCTTGTTGTTGAAGAACACAAAGGAAGGAAGAATGTGGGTTTTATTCTTTTCTTTTTTTTTTTCTTTTTAACATACTCACTGCCAMCTGTGTCTTTCATTTGGGTACCTTGAATTGGTACCTTTGAATATGCATTCAAATACAGACGCAAGTAAGAACAGTCATTAGGCACTTGAGATCTCTCTTGAAAATCACACYGTTCTTAAAGATGGATGTAGAGAGGGAGGTTAGCAAGTTTTAGTCCGAGTTTTGTTGCATTACTTCTGCTGATTGCCGAACAAAGTGAAGTTTAGGATCTGCAACAACGTTTTGCTGTTTAAATTCTGTGCAGATATTGCGATCTGAAGAAAGAAAAACAAATTCTTGTCTTTGAAATGGACATTTAGGTAAAAAGAAGCATTCCCGTTAACACTCACGCTGACCAGCTCGTGCTGACCAGACTTGTGAAGTCAGTGCAATTCTCATTAGATGTTAGAGGACAGATGGATGACACAACAGCAGCTCTCCAAGACAATAGAAAACATGTTGTTGCTTGTGCACTTACTTGTAGAATTACTTTTTTTTTTTTCATTTTTAGTTTATGACCTTATCTGCCTTTAACTCTCTGTGTGGGTACCCTGATGTGCTTCAAGAGTGCACACAGTTCCATAGAAATGAAACAAGACTGTGGGCTGACTGTAAGCTTACAACTGACTGTAAACTTAAAGTATTTCGGTTAATCTGAGCCACAAACTATTTGCCTTGAGAACTGATTTTTTGATACCGTGTGTTAACTGTAATAGATATTTAGGAAGTAAATGCTGCTTTCTCTGCTATTGTGAAGGTTAATGGCTTGGGTTAGTGACTCAGTATTATCAAATCTTCTGATTGTATCTCAAGACTTAGGTATTTAGTGTCTTTTCTGCCCTTTATTAAGGCTCAGCTTTTAGAGTCATGTCTTCAGGTTTAAGAGTCATGTCTTCATGTCTTCACAGCTGTGAGAAAAAAAAAAAGAGAAAGAAAAATGGACATAAACGAAAACTTAAAACTTTGAAGAGTAACAGATCTTTCACAGAGAATAAATAAAACCTTTAGTTCTTAAGTGATTTTTATACTTTAAGGAAGACCAAATACTTCGTGTTTTTCATACCSAGATGGACAGTTATTGTAACTGCTTTGTTTTAGCCGAGGTTTAATTCCCAACTTCATAGTTCATGCCAAATAAATTGAATAAAATGGAGTTAATTAGCTAATTACATTGTGCTTTTTTGTTGTTTATTTGTTTTGTCTTTTTCCTCCTCCCCCTAGGGTCTAGTTTCAAATTTAACTCTTGATCAAGATGTACTTGTCGAATGGGAAATCTATCCTCTAAACATAGATGGAGCAGTGAACCATGACATCAATGGCCAATCTGAGCAACTATCGAGATCTCTTGGTAATCCATCAAGTTATGAAGCACCCACATTTTACACTGGTAGACTTTCAATTCCTGGTGGGATTCCAGATCTGCCTCAAGATACCTACGTCAAGTTTCCTGGCTGGACAAAGGTACAACTTTTTGCAATAAAAACTTGAATTCCACTCAAAACATACATAGACTCATATGAAAGGTGGAACTCTACATCTCCCGTGTCAGCAGAAGCAGGCTGTAGTTATGAGGTGCAGCAATAGTTAAATGACTGGTGAATGGGTTACTTGTTTTAAGTAAATCTGAAGGTAATCCACTAAGAGGGAAACACACATGTGAAATGTGTATAGTGTTGATGTGAAATAAGAGGGCCACAAAAATTAGTCCTAAAAAAAAATAATTTTTATTCTGGTACAAGTGAGATGCTAAAGGCCATTTTCCTGGTTATGCAAGTTGATTAAAGGTAATTAAGAGCACATTTGTAGGGCTGGATGAGGACCTATGGATCCTGTTACAAATCATAGGAAGAATTAAGCTACAAGTGCTAGTGTGGTGTCTGTAAATGTGGGCGCAGTGTTCGGAAGATATTATTACTTCTCTTCTGGAGGTTACCTAGAAATGTACAGAAAGGATCAAAGAGGTCGTCTCGCGAAGCTTGTAGGCAGATCTCTSTCAGTAGGAACTTCTGGTAAGCTGAAGGCTAACTAGAGGTTAGTCTAACTAAGGTTAACTAGAGCAAAAGAGAGAGTGTTTTTGCAGTGCTAAACAGTGCTAGGTTTGAATCAGCTCAGCTACCTGTGGGAGGCCTTGACAGCAAGATGTGTCCATTGAAGCGTCCCAGTGAGTGACATTCAGCCTCAGGCTTCAGGGAAGTCCCTCTGTTGGACTAAGCTAGTCCTTCCTGAAGCAATTTGTTAGCTTACAGTTTTCAGAACAGAGTAGGTGAAGGAAGTGTTGGTGATCTATAAACTGTATTCTAGTTTTTAGAGCACTTCCTAGTATGCAGGAGACTCTGATTCATTGTTGGCATTTAGTGTTATCAGCAGGGAGTTTGARGAAGTGCAGCTTCTGGTCCTTGTTCCCGTATCTGTTACAGTCATTGAATAAAATCCAAAAATAGTCCTTTGCACAGACTGGAGTCTGGGACTTGTGAAATAAAGTATTTCACCCAGTGAATCCCAAATTCTTTTTTGGATAGTGAMATCCTTCAAGAGAGATTGACCATGYCTTCCTGCTGGCAAAGCCTGCTTTGAAAGGGGAAATGAATCCAATAAGTCTTATAGATAAAGGGGTATCTCTTTCTTTTATCTCTATTTTACCTATTATCTGACCCTCTGAAGATTCCTAGGTGAAGAGATTCCAGGTATACTGTAGATAGGACTGCTGAGTTGATCCCTCAGGACTTAATAGGTCACGGAGGTGTGGACTGGGCCATAGCTTTGAGTAACAAGATATCCAACAGCAGTAAGACCGACACGATGCTGGGAACAGGGCAGGGAGGCAAGCAGAAACTGAGACTTCCAGATAACTTTCCCAATGCATAAATACCTGTAGACCAGAGGGCAGTAAGAGTTTAAATCTCCCTCAGATCCCATTGGATCTAGGCCCTAATTCCTTGAATGGCACTGTATAWATTTTTCACATGAAGGTGAGAAGGGGAGCTTTTAACTGGAGTTAAAACTGAGAATTTGGAGAACTAAAAGAATGGCACTTATTAGAAGAAAAACATGCACTTCTAATGTTGATCCTACCTCAGCATGTTAAGGAAAAGATGATATGCTGGTAAGCCAAGCTCATGGGTGAAGCGTTCATAGTCATGCATTGCTCTGGGTAAGATGTGCTTTGCTGGATTTTGGACATGTGATTTTGTACATCCTTTAGGTGCAGTCTTCAGAAATTGCAGTAAGGAGAGGGGGCAGTTTGGATTGGATAATTTAAGTTCATAGCTTTCTTAGAAAAATGAGCCAGTGACTGATTAAGATCAGAAGTAGACACTTACCTGATCTTAGCTCCTGTGTTACAACTCTAACACAAGCAATTGTGTCCTACACTGAACTCCTGCTTTATATAGGGCTGGGACTTAACGGTAGACTCACTTGTTCATTTTGTTTGTTGGAGGGAGCTGGGATTAATGTCATCTTTTCTCCTAAAACTAGTGCAGAAGCATGGTAGTGAGGTTGAATAAACAGTTCTTTTTCTTTTTAATCCTGCAAAACAAGCCACAAAGCAAGATAAAGTGGATTTAAAAAAAATGTTTGAGGTTGAAGTTTATTAACACCTTGGTGTAACTGTGCAAGATAGGATCTTACAGCACGGAAGTGGATAGAGAGCTGTAATAACTCACCTGCACTTGTAAATTTAGCAACTCTTTATAAAATTATCTTGCAAATTCCCTAAAAATCGGTATTTAGAAAGACTCAAAAAGGATAAGGCAAGAAAAAATCCCTTCATACATCTTAAAAGGTTATACTCAGTGTGCTACAAGTGCACTTCTCTAAGTCCTTAAAAATATTATTGCAGTTTTAGCTATCCTAGGCATACTTAGAAGGCATCAAGAATACAGTGAGAGTTCTTCCTTTCCAGTGACTCAAACACTTTATTATCCATACCAGTGTGTGTCAGTGCCGCTAATTTGTTTATTTTTCTTCTATATTGAATTACTAAACAACAAAGCAAGAGRAAAACAGAGATGAACTTCCTTGTTCCCATCCCTTTACTTGTCTAATGAAATCTTAATTTTCTGGCTTGTGGTAGAAATGAAGCTTGTGAGGAGCACGAGCAGATTATTTGTTCAAACCAGTCATATATCCTCCCTTAAGTCTTCTTTAATGAACCAAGGATCAGCTAGACTCAGCATGAATTTTTTTATAACTTTCTTCCAAACTTTCTGCAGTTTTCAGTTTAAAGACTGTTGGCRAAGTATATGCTTGTGACACTTCGGTGTATCCACTTTCTGGTATATAAATGACTTTTATTTGCCTGATTTTGCTTTATTTTTAAACTACGGCGTTACAGTGTTAGATAGGTGTTTTGAACTAAGGGATTCTGGCTACCTCCATTATAAAAAGACATTTTAAAAAGTTTGTATCTCAAGTTGTAAGCAATGMTATTGAAATGCATGACAGAAAAGGTCAGGATTTTAATGGCCCAAAGTAGATAAAACAAAATTCAGTAGCCTCTTGTAGTGCAATTTCGCAGGTTCTTTTGTTGTCCAAGTAATCTGATTACAATAAGCACTTGAAATTTCACATTTCTAAACAAGCAGTGCATCTTTTTCATGAAATTGTAATACAGGAAGGGGCTACCAAGGTAGTGAGGTCTTATAATTTTACAAGAAAAAACACAACACAGATTTAAGATTTGCCCACGTTTTTGTGTTTACCTTCTTCTTGTAGCAACCAGCTTCAAGTTGCCAYGGTATTCAGGTTTGTTTGGTCTGAAACTTTATGTAAAATTCAGTGACAGGATCCTACCATTTTATTTTCCTAAATATTGCCATATTTGAAATGACTGCTTTATTTGACCATGCAAGTTTTAAATATTAATAATGATTTTCACTTATAAAAAAAGTAGATTTGTTTCATCGTTTGTGCTATTTTCTTGAACGTATTTTTGATCTTGGTGTTTATTTCTGCCAAACTGACACATCAAGAAAATTCAGTTGCTTTGCAAGGAGTGTTATGTACTTAATAAAGCTGTATAGTCAAATGATCGCTGTCAAATTATTAAAACTTAATTAAGTCTTTTTTTTTTTCTTTTTTCTTCTCTTTTAACAGGGGCAGATTTGGATCAATGGCTTTAACCTGGGTCGCTACTGGCCTGCCCGTGGTCCTCAGTTAACCCTCTTTGTGCCAAGCAATATCCTTGTTTCCTCGGTGCCGAACAACGTGACGGTGCTGGAGCTGGAGCGGTCGCCCTGCAGCACGCGGGGCTGCGAGATAGAGTTTGTAGACACGCCTGTTATCAATGCAACCACGCAGCACACTAGGGATGCCCCTCGGCTCTTCGTGAGAGACACGGAGCAGAACCCGCTGTGATGGCTCGAGCCTTTCCTTGCTCTTTCGCCAACKTGGCTTCCCTTTTCCCTCAAGCCAAACTTCCCTTTTTTAAAAAAGTCAKTGTTGGTCAGTAGGTCGTAGAGCTGAGGAAGGTTTTAGAATTCGTAAAAGACTTCCCTTTTCTCCTTGTTTTTAAACTAGCAAGAGTCAAATACAGAAATTCTCTTTAAGAATGAAAAAGAAAGAAGAAGCTGTAGATTTAAAGTTGACCTTGGATTGTGAAACAGAACCCAGGTGAAAGATAATGTTGGTGTCATAAAAATGTAGCCCCACATACTGTGCTTGAACTCTTAATTTATCATTTTTTGGCACTGGAGAGCAGTGTATTAAGAGGTGCACAATCCCTCGAGCCTGCAGCCTGTTCCTGCCTGCATCAGAGGGGCTGGTGCTTCAGAGCAGCCAATATTTTCTGGTATCTGGTTAGTGTCAGTGTCGTCTTAGCCTGCACTCATTTGCTGCTCATGTTGAGTGGATCTCATCTCTTGTTGCGCTGCCATGTGAGTGACCACGGAAAGTCTTGAGCTCGTTTCCTCTGAGGGGGAGAGCACCCAAGTGCAGGCTGGTCTAAACAGCAGCCGGGGGGTTATTGGGGCCCGTGGTCACAGTYCTGCAGCCACCCCTGCGATGCTGCTGGGTGATGCTCACATTTCTGAGCCCATTTACTGCTTCTCTTCTGTGATCTCTGAAGTCTTAAGAGTCGACTAATAGGTTCAAGGACTTAGGTAAAACTTAGGCTCGCTCTGTTGGACCATAGACTGGCTAACTTGCCTGCTGTATATGGTCTTAAAGTGAGCCATTTTAAAATTACATTTGTAAACTTATTGTGTGTGCGTTACTTTTAATAATGGACTTGTATGCCTGTTTTTCATAGGCCGGAGCCTTGAAAGCTGAAGGTTTTAAGTCAAAGCATTACATTCTTTTTTTAGTCACTATTTGACATTTTATGGTTTTTTTTTTTTTTTTATTTCCAGTAAATTAATGATCTTTGTAAGTGGCTGATACTTGCAAAGATGCAGCATCACTGTCGGGAAAGCTGGCTTTCTGTATTGGTCTGGAGCTCTTTTGTTTCAATTCTCATAGTTTTTTTGCCAATCATGAAGACTCCTTGGTGAGATTTAAAGGAAAAAACATTGAGATGATGCATTAAATTAAATATTCTAACAATCTGTCAAGTTGCTCCTCTTGAATTTGTATGGCGTCATTAAAATGGCTCTTGAAAGATGAAATCCCTCTGTGTTCATTTGAGAGGGAAAAACGGGAGAAGGAAGTTTAAGAGGAATTACTGGGGAGCCCCATTCCCTTCAGCACCTGCATCTCTCCAGGTGTGTGGCTTGTTTGACTCGTGTTTGTTGGGCTGCCGGCCTTGTTGGCTTCCCAGCTTGGGCAGCTGTGGTTCACCTGAGCTAAACAGAAAGTGTCCACTGTGAAATTCACTCCTCAAATACAAAGTCTCAGGGCCAAGGACTGTGTGCACAGTAGCAGGACCCAAAACRCTCTGTTTTGGACTCGAGATACACACATTTTTTTTTCCTGAGCCTCATCTTTGTGCAGGCCCTGGAAAATGCTCTGCAATTAGTTTAGTAAAAAATATTAATCACCTCCAAGCCAGATCTTGAAAGTAAGGAATGGAACAGAATTAGTTTCATACCGGTTGTGGGTTTTGTGGCTTTAAGTGTGCAGAATGATAGCCCTATATAGATATTATTCCAACAGCAGTTCAGTGTTTTAACAGCCAGGAATATTTTTTTTTTCCCTAGCAGTTAGTGCTACAAGAGGAGTGGAAAAGATCAACTCATAGCTCTTCTTCTCACTTCGTTTGCTTTTACATTTTACTCCCTGAAAAGAACCTCATGCAGTCTGTGACATCTTAAAAGCACCAGGACTTTGCATCGAGCATTACAAACATCCTGCCGCGTGGAAACGACGCTAACAAGAACAACAGGGAACAATTTCCACTTTGCTCCCAAGCCTGCCTTTGCTCCTAAGACCTGCTCCTGGGAGTCAGGATTGGTTTGTGAGGAGAAATGGAGTAACTCTGCAGAGCGTGGAGTTAGGGGGCTGGGTTTAGCACAGAGACTCTTTCAGTCCTTGAGCGGTTTGTCATCTTCAACTGTAATCACAACCATGTGGCAACGAAGGGCTTTAAAATGTCACTGCTTGGGCTTGGGATGAACGGGCACGTGGGGGAATCGGAGCTGATGAGCAGTGTGCCCTGTACGGTTGTATTCCCTTTCTAAGAGTAGGGGTGAGACTGCTGTCTTTCCCTTTTGTTCATCTTTATCTTCTTGGGTGACAAGTAGAACATGATAGCCCCTGCATCATGGGGATGAGACTTGGCCTTGTCCGCATCCGCTCCAGCCTCTCTGTAATTCCATGCAAGGTGCCTTCCCCAGCTCCCTGTCTCCATCTCTTCACGTGTCCTGTTTAGGGGGCAAGGGAAGGCAGCTCCCCTCCACCTTGGGCAGGCTCGGTCGCTTTGATGGGGTCAGCAACCAGCTACACGATCTCCTTGCATTTYGTAACAAAGTCACTGGGGACAACTTGCATTCCAGCGCTTGTCTCACACTTACCAGCAAAACTTCCTCTCACTTCTTCCCAGTAATGGGCAGATACGGACCTCTGACCACAGCCTGGTCCTTTACTGGGCATGACTATCACCTTGCCAACAGGAAACTGTAATTAAAAGGTATTTGTTTGCATGGCTGTGCAATCACTCCTCATTTTCTTTCCTTTTGTGCTTGTCAATGCTGTAGCATAGCTTCCCAGAGGAAGCACTGATGACAGATGCACACTCCCCACATTTTTTCTTTAGTCTGTTCTTGTATGCATCTTAATCTGCAAACACCACTTTAACAAGAACATTTTTAGAGATGATCTAGTTGTAAGCCTCTCTGCCCTAATTCGGTATCACCTGAACCTAGACTATACCCATCATTTTTGTTCTTCCAATCATGCTGTGAAGGGAATCCCAGCCGAGCTCTTCTATCTAGTATTCTGTGGTTAGAACATTTGTCAACAGATCACTGAAATCTTTGTTGCTATATATAAGCCCATTATTGCCTTTATAACCCGCAGTCAACGTGAAGTATCTCTTTTCTGTGAGACTCTTCTAGGCCTTCTGTCTTCTTATCTCCATGAAGGACTGTATACAAGTATTGTGTATACACCTGGGTATACAAGTATTAGGTGATGCAGAGCAGCAGAAAGAAGCTTCAGCGAGGATGTGAAAGTCAGGGATATCCTCCTGAATGAGCTGGTCCAGGCGTCACAGCTGTATTTTCTGGAAAGAATGACCAAGTTGCAAAAAAGCTGTTTTGCAGGTGCGGGCTTAAAAGTGTAGTAGCCAGCCTCAAGATCCTGGTAGGATCCCATGGTGAAGGGAACTGGAAGCTACTGGAGAATGGGGCCTGCTTTAATGTAAGTAAGACATATCCAGGCAGGAAGAGATGATCTGGGAATTCAGTGCAAAGGACCGAGTAGAAGAACATGTTGAAAAAGGAATCACGGGGATTGTCGTTCTACTTTTTTTTTTTTTTGCACAAAACAAAAAAAAACCCCTTTTCAGAAAAATGTTGGTGCTTTTGTTATTACCAAAAGGGAGGGGAGTAGCAGACCTGAACCTCCAGCTTTAGGGGGAATCTGGAAGAGCAGGGAGGTGTTACCTGCTGGGAAGCTTTGCAGAACCAGTGATAGTGTCAGGTCTTTGGTAGTGAAATCTCCTCATAGGATACATGTCTGTGCAGGCAAGGAATCAGGATTTTATTTAAGAATTCCCATCTTGGCCTTTCCTGCATACACCTGCCCTTCAGCAGCCAAGTGTGTAGAGCAGCCAAAAGTCCAGGTCCTAGTAAAGYCCCGCTTTAAACCATACTCTATAATGTTGCAAGGTGAAACGCGATCTTGATCATAAACCTCCTGAGCATGCATTGGTAGCAGACTGTGTGCAAGCAGCTTGATACGATCTTGCACCTCAGTAAATGTTTGCAGTTGCATATCAATCATTTAGCCTACTTTTCTAAAAAGAGTCTTTCTAAAAGACAAGAGCAAGAAAAACCACCCTCAAGGGGAACAGGTTAAGTTACTCCAGTTTCGTTTGCGAGACTCTACTACAAACCTGGCCTTTGTGAAGTGGAGTGGGCCTGGTGGATCCCGGTACAAAAGCCAGTAGGAAAACACAGGCAGTAGCCGTGATTCCAAAGGGTTTTTCARTTGATTTCCTTTATTTATTTATTTCTTAACACAAGTCTTTCTGCATGGCTCACACTTTAACTAATTATATATGTGTGTGCACATATATGAAAGGTTCTGTAGGGCTCACACCCCYGCTATATGTTAAGGGAGAGTTTTCACAGTGCTGCCTGGTGCTGTGGGCCAGAGCACAGAGCACGCAGCAGGGAAGTGTCTAGCAAATGGATGTGGGACATCCCTGTGATGCTGCAGATAAGAAATGCTTCTTCTGCTTCATTCTTCCTGGAGTCTCTGGTTGTTCCTCTTGTATTAGGGAAGTCTTATTTGGAGAGAAACCCAAAGAATTTTCTTCGGTCTATTCTCTGAAGTGAAAATGGTCTCCACCCCTTCCTCCTATCCACTATTAGTCTGCAAGTTGGGCAAAAATACCTTTGTATGCAGCTTGTTTATACTTCTTTCCTCCAAATCCCATTTGCAGATSCCTTTTCATGCGTACCACAAAGCCTGATAGAGTGTAGGTAGTGAATACTCTTTCCTGGTGTGTAGTCTAAATGGAGGCAAAAGTCGTCCCTAGCTGTGGAGTTCTGCTCTCGAAAGCATTTGCCTTTCAAAAGGTGATGGGTTATGTTGAGGATCCTGCGCTGTGGGTGAAGGGACCTTCTTGGGTATAGGCAGAATGGTTGGGTTGAAAGAGAAGCAGCAGGTGGAGCTTATTTTAACCCACCTCATGCCCTGTGCTTTGTGGCTGGGACACTGAGTTTTGGACAGCAGTTGTCTTCTTTCAGTTCCTTGAAAATGCAGTTGCTGTTTGCACTGCAGGCGTTTGTGAGATAGGAAGTTTTGCAGAAGKAAAAATTTCATTTATACTTCTCTGTTGCCCCATTCATCTTCTTCTGGTTCAATATTATTTCTGGACATTGAAAATACTCTGCTTTACTAGTGAGGTTTTCCAGAAGACTTTTAGCTCTGAGAGATGGGTCTGGAACCTGCACACCCTCTGCAAATCTTTTTTTTTTCTTCAAAATTTCTGACTTTTTATTATCTTCTCAGGTTTAGGATGTGGTTTGCCTTAATCATGAATAGGTGGATCCGGTGTTCTGAAAAGCCTGAGAACCTATGCTGAGCTTAGGAGAGGTTAGTATTATTTTCTGCACTTTTTTCCCCCTAGCAATGAATGTACCTATGAAGATTTCTACTACAGTGCATTCCTATGCCGCTCTTCCTGTCTTTTTGATCCAGAGCAGGATTTACCTCAAAAATTTAAGTTAGTCTGAGTTTGTGGACTATGACCAAACATAGACACCTGCAGAGGTGACCTTTTTTTTTTAAAGCACTGACTCTGGTTGCCATCTGCTGAAGAGCTCTTTGTTTACTTGTTCAAGCCCAACATCTCTGGTTCTTTTGGTTTGTCTCCATGGCTTCGGAGCTGTGCTGAAGAAAGCCTGCTGCCTCTGTGCCTCCTTTCTGACTTCAGCTCTCTGACACTAGTTGCCCTCAGCTTCCATATTAGGCAAACTTTGGGCTCCTGTTARGCTCTTTTTACAGAAAAAAAAAGGAGAAAAGCCAACAAACAAAAGTAAACTTGATCACCCAGTCAAGGAAGTGGCAGTGACTTGGATAGAAAGCGCCAGTAGTACAAATATAAGAATGCAAGCTTGCATTCTCACTTACCTAAATGGCTTCTTTATTTCTCTCCAATTCCAAAAAAAAAAAAAAAAAAAAAAAAAACCCAACAAACCAACCAAGCAAACAAAAAAAGAAGAA